CCCCTCTTCTTCTCCCAGCTCCCTCTCCCCTCCCCCAAGCTCTCAATCCACTCAGGAGATCCTGTCCCTTTCTCCTTCTCCAGGGTACCATGCATGTTTCTTTTTGGGTCCTCACTGTCTCACAGCCTCTCTGGTAGTGTGGATTGTAGGATGGAAATCCTCTGCTCCATGTCTAAAATCCATATATGAGTGAGTACATGCCATGTTTGTCTTTTTGTGACTGGGTTACCTCAGTCAGGATGGTTTCAAATAATGCTGCTATAAACATAGTGGAACAGAGATGCCCTTGCTGTATGAATGTGCATCTTTTGGGTATATGCCTAAGAGTGGTGACAATTACATCTTAACAGTGTTTCAGGACTAGCATATTAGGTCTGCTCATAGGTTGAACAAAATAATGCGAGCTGCTGGCCAAATTTACTCAGCTCAGAGTTCTGAAGCCACCCTCACACAGACATCAGGGGGAACTCATTTCACACTTCTATAAAATTAATTTTGATTGTTTTCAAGGATTAGTCAACACAAAACAAAGTGGAAATGGTACCCCAGCTATAGAAACTCCGTGGGCTGGAGAAAATCAGTCTCAAAAGCGCTGTGTCTCTGAATTAAGAAAGAGGACCAGGTCCTGCCAGGGCTTAGCTAAGCTGACCCTGAGTCTACAAACATATTTAAGACGATCAGCTTCTGCAATTGAGGCACTTGCCGAAGTCTGGTGGAGGCAGATTTGGCTGCTGGAGGAGCCAATGCAAAGTCCATGTGCTCTTAATTCTGTCATTTCTCACACTTAGCTCAAAGCATCCTGTTTCACGCAGGAGCAAGCCTCGTGTCTGCACTGGATCTCCTTTGCAGCACTCAGCCAGTGTCAGCAAAGGCAGGTCTGTGCCGCAGTACCAAGGTCAACACTAGCCACCCTTGCTGCTCTTCATAGTAACCTCTATTGCAATGACAACACCTCACATACATTTCACCTATTTAGTAACTTCACAGGCCTAGGCAGTTGTGTGTTACATATTTTAGATTATGCCTTGAGAGTCAAACATACCTTTACTTGTAGAGATAGTTCACACTCACTGCTCTATAGTATTGTGCTGTGTAGACATATCATAATGTATCTGCTTGGTATCCAATTGATAGGCAATAGCATTAACTATTTAGGCCTGTTGTAGAGAGTGTCACTGTGAATTTTTAAGCTTATATATTTTTAAGAAACCTATCTGTTACCCTTATTCATAGTCTAGAGACTTTTCTAGAATGGAGTTATTGGGACTATATGTGTGCAGTGTGTGTGAATGTGTGTGTCTATGCACGTGTGCATGTATGAGAATGTGAGTTTGTGTACATGTGTGTTCAGACTTAATACTGTCAAATCACTTGACAAAGCTATGAAAATCCCCACCAGTGGGGAATGTGTCCCTCTTGCCGGTGTCCTTGCCAGCAATGTGGCGTTTCCTTGTTTCCATAGCAACTGTTTAAATCAGCCTTGAGTGTCTTCCTCAAAATTCCCTTTGCTGTTTGTGACTTGCACATTTTCACATAACTTTTCTATGAAACTGCAAACTTTGGGTAAACCCGCTGTGCTGTAGGCTGGAATCGCTTGACTCTGAAGGTCAATGTGGGGAGAGTGGACCTGTGTCTGAGGCTGACGTGCAGGGATCACAAAACTGCTCTCAGTCATGCTCCTTAGTTGGTACAGAGGGCATGCATGTGCCTTGCTGGGGTAATAACTATTTGTCTTATACCACAGTGTGCAACATTCTAGTTCTTATATTATTCATATGAATAACACTTTAATCTTTTATCAAGAGCTTCTTTTGCCAAATTTAATTTTTCTAATGTTCATATTTTGTCTACAGATTTTTGAGATTTTCTTTCTTCAAAATAATTTGTCTCTAAATATTGACATATTCTGTATTTCCTTTAAGCCATTACCACCCCTTACATGTCCTTTCTTTGACATATGATGAATACACACGGTGACACAATGTCCTTATCGTCTTCCATATTTGGGAAGAACTGCTATTCATCATTTGGTACAGCAGTCAAGGAAATTCCGTTATAATCCTACTTTGCCAATAGCTTTAAAAATTTTTCAGTTGAGTTTTATGAGATGAGTTCTTCTGCTCTCTGCAAATACAACAACGTACCCTAAATGACAAGCCCAAGTTGAACACTGCATCCACTGTGTGTGTGTGTGTGTGTGTGTGTGTGCATATTTATGCACACTCATCCATAAGTGCAGAGACATGTAGAGGCCATAGAAGTGCATTATATTTTCAAAGCTTGAGTTATAGGCAATTGTGTGTAGCCTGTTGTGAGTGTTAGAAACTGAACCTGGTCCCCTAAAAGAGCAATTCCTACCTCCCAACTCTACTCCTTATTTTTAACAATATTTAATTTTCATAGTGCTTTACTTAGTTTTTTTTCTGAGACAGGGTTTCTTTGTGTAACACCTCTAGCTCTTCTGGAACTCGTTCTGTAGACCAGGCTGACCACAAACTCATAGAGATCCGCCTACCTCTACCTCCTGAGTGCTGGGATTAAAGGCAAGCACTGCCACTGCCAGGCTAACTTAGAATTTTCATGAGAGTTTGTACTGTAATTTGTTTTTATATGCCTTTTTCAATTTCACATTAAGCTTGTCTTGTATAATGTATTTATAAGGGCCTACATTTTCCCTATTCTCTGAAAGAGATTCTGTTTTACTGTTTATAAAATCACAAACACAAGTAAAGCTTTGTGGTCCACCCATTGTTGTGTCTTCCTCTCCTACCCTTGCTTGTTAGCTTTGGTTCACTTGACACAAACTAGAGATACCTGAGAAGAGGCACACTCAGTTGAAGAACTTCCTTCCTCCATCAGATTGGCCTGTGGACATGTCTGTGGGGTACATCTAGTCACAACACATAGGAAATTAACAACAGACCAAAGTATCAGTTCCACCTGAGTCCAGCTTGGTGAGTCAGTGTATTGTAATCACCATGGGCTAAGGGTTGTTTACAGGAGCAGGGACAACTCCCGAGGCAGCTGGCCGTGTCACTCAGCATGGATGGCAACTCATGAATGCTGCAACCCTGGAGTCTTCTGCAGTGCAGCCGTACAGGTGAGTCTCTTTCCTTAGCAGATGCCTAGTATTTATATAATGATAGTGACCGGCTTGTGAAGCTTGTAAATTTCCACATCACACTGTGGCATTTGTTGACTTCCTGTCTCAAGCATCCTGGAGAGAAAACTTGAGTGGGAGAAAACTGCTGTGTGACAAAGAGTGATAGGCTGGAGACAAAGCACTGTGGAAGAGAGGCAGACATCTTACAGCGTAGCAAACATGACAAATGCCTCTCGGCATGAGGTCTGATGGCACCGTTGCTGGTGTAGACCACTGACACCATGGCATGAGAATGGCGGCTCGCTCTGGGTCCTTCTCTCCCAAAGGCATGACACCATGGGATTGTGAAAGGAACATCGGCTGCATCCATGGGAAACAGCTCACACACATGAAGAGTGCTCCTAAAACCCAAAGATAAGACGTGCCAGAGATGTTCACTTCTACCATTGTATGAGGAGAAATACGAACTACATATAATGTCCTGTATCCAGTTGGGATCCTGGGACAGAAACAGATTAAGAGACTCTCAATAAGGTGTGACTTTTAAACTAGTAGCCTATGACTGTTGTACATTAGCATTCTACATAAAACAAGACATCAATGGTGTGGGAAGACAAGTATAATCTGCATGAGAAGTTGCTGTTATACCCGCACAACTTTTCTGTGAAGGAAGGTGATTCTACAGTAAAGAAAACTTTATATTTCAAAAATGAGCTTTCTCCTACCCTTTGAAGGGGAACTGGGTAAGATAATGTCCATTTTCCTTAGTCCTGGCACACATAGCCTAGAGCACATAACTGTGTAGATGGTGACCAGGCTACACTAAGTGTCTCATGGCTTGTTGACCTAGAACTTTGCTAATGATCAGCAAGCCTGAATAAATTGAACATATATATATATATGCATATATATATATGAGATAATACCAAACCAGACAAGATAAATCTGTACTCTGTACTTACTATTTCATTTATTTTCCTTCTATTGTGATATGTAATGAATTTGATAAGACTTTATCAATAGTTTATTGATAATTAATTTATAATTAATAATAATCTATTACAATATAGGAGCTGAGTTGATGGCTTAGAGGTTAAGAGTGCATGCTGCCCTTACAGAGCGAGCACCTTGGTTCAGTTCCCAGCAGCCTGGTCAGGAGCCTGGCCAGGAAACTTATAACTGCCTCTAACTCCAGCTATCCTGTTCTGACCCCCACAGGCACCTGCACTCACATGCATGTACCTCCACAAGGACATGCATGCACACACATAAATAAAAAATCAATTAAATGGTGCATTACAAAGATATATAAAAGGTTGGACTACATGTTATCATGAGGTAATTTAATTGTCATTTCCTAGTAGGACTCTCCCTATGTAGAGCAGCTGCTAAATCTTTTAAGTCGTCTATTTTGTCTATGTAGATGTTTGTGCATTCCAATGGCACAATTTAACCAGAGAGGTTTTGCATCTGCTTCTGAAAGCCTCGTTGCAGCAGTCAGGTGTGTGGAGCACTCCTCTAACCCCATCGGAAGGCTGGGGCAGGAGGGAGGACCTGGCTTTAAGGATGCTGTTCTGTGGAAAGGGACATCAGTGTAGGCAAAAAATGGCACAAATGATGATTTTTAAAGTCCTGATTGTAGGAGGAAGTCTGATGCCGCCATTAAACATGTGACTTATTAGAGGCGCATACAGATGAGGTAATAAAAGGGCGGTTTACCACACCGCTAACCACACCCACTTTAGGCAGGACTAAAGACGTATACGTACGTAGGCGGAACTACGTCACTAGCCAGGCCCACTTTTGGGCATGGCTGGGGCGTTACAGGGGGGAAGGCATAAAAGACAGCACACAGGAAGTCTCGCTCTCTTTTCCTGGAGTTCGGCTTCCAGTTCGGCAGACGAAAACTCCTTGTCTCCTCTGGGTTTGGTATCTTGTGAGTAATTTCTACATTAAATACTTAGATTTACTTTCAGTAATTGTGTGTCGCGTATCGTTACAGCGTCCATTAAAGCCAACACCTGATATCGAAAAATGCCTGTACTCTTCTCTCATAGGCCAGGGTTTGTCTCCTTCCCAAATTCCCATCTCATTGGTTTAGGATGCAAAGCTTTGTCTAACGAATATTTTGAGGTGTTGGGACTCCCCCCTTTCCGACTGTGGCCTCGGTCATGTAGCAGGCTGTCTATAAGTCTCCAACTCTCAGAGTTCTAGGACAAGCAGGCATCAGCCACCAGTTAGGGAGGGTGGGGGCTAATGCCTCCTGTTTGTCTGTGACTCTGAGGGGTTCTAAGCCCACCTCATACTCTGAGTGGACAATCACACACTATTCCTCATACCTGGGCTACATAGAAAGGCCTTTTTTGAATGAATAAATAAAATAAATAAATTTAAAAATTGTTTTCTATTAAGTACTCCCCTGTGATCACCGAGGCAACTATTTTGCAAATAGAAACTCCAACGACGTTGTCACAGTATGGCAACTTATGCTTTCATCATGTTCAGGCACAACATTCTCCAGTTAGGTTTCAATCAACTTCATAATTGTCAAAAATCATTTTAAGAAAAACTATAGGACTATTTAAAGTTAAAATAAACATGCTAAATAAAAAGCATGCTTTGTTTTAGGATGCTAAAAATGAAGATCTATAATGTTATTGTATGTACAAAATGACAGTCATTTCTGTTGCTAGGTCTGTGGTTACAGCCAGGACACTCTGGACCCCCATGCCATTTTGTGTCTTTGTGGTTTAAATAAAGAGGTCACCTAGTGAAATTCCCATGTCATGAGAATAACACGACTCAAGAGGAGTCACAACTCACTAAGTTCAATGTAGCATTAATTTTAAAAATCCCAGATCATCTCTTTAAGAGCATGGGGTATTACTTTATCTACTGTAAGACATTTGAATAATTTACTAAAGGAGTGTGTGTGTGTGTGTGTGTGTGTGTGTGCGCGCGCATGTGCTCCCTTCTAGAAAAAGATTCCTCAAACAGAGAGTCCCCTGAGAATCCTAAACACAAAGATGCTAACATGTTATACAATTTAACATTTGGAATGAACGTTCAGTGCCAAGTTCAAACCGTCAATATTTCTGGAAAAGAAAATAGACATTATAATAGGACAGTTCACTTTCTTGGCACAGGTTATCAAAAGAGTAGCTTAAGAAATTATGCAGCCTGTAACAACTTAACATCAGAAATAGAAATAACCCAGATTCAAAAATAACTTACAGACCCATCAATCAATCAAACGAGATACTACTGAAAAAAGAGACCTAAATGTCTTAGTCATGACACAGAGGCCTATTTTCAGGGTGGGCACTTTAGAGAAGTCCTGTGTGTAGTCGTCATCAGGCCTCATGACAGGCTATGCACCTGTGGGAGGAAAGATGGTGATGGCCCACACAGACACTGCAGCCTACATCTCCAGCATGGAGTGTCGGTGAGCAGGGTCAATTTCAGACAACTACAGCCATCCACGGAGCCTCAGGTACACAGGCCACACAACTGTACCCTAAGTAAACACAGAATTCAAGGCCCACATCTTACGTCTGGACTTGGAAACAAAAGAATGGCCACTGGTTCAACAAGGGGAAGAAAAGATGATGTCAAGAGCCCAGAATACAAAGCTAACTGCTAGACACTTGAGTCACACAAGGGCCTGTCACCTCTGTGTCCTCCTCGGACACTGTGCTTCCTGCTAAGATGTGAATGCCCATTTCAGCTCTGAGGGGACACTGGTGTGACATGTTGAATTGCCTTAGCCGGAGCCCTGTTGACAGGCCTTTTGGGGTTTAATCTGGCAGGAAAGTGCCTTCCTAACAAGAATAAAGCTCTGGCTTTGATCCTCAGTACTGGTGGATAAACAAATAGATATATCAGGCCATACTGACACCTGCAAGGTGACAAGGCAGTGTGTCAGACAGTAGTGGCATGGCTGAACACAAAATGTGTGCCTGAGGTCCAGGCAGTTTGTGAGGAATAAAGGAGGATGAGAAGCCAAAGTTTCTTCCAGCTCTCCGGAAGAGTGTGGTGCCACCTGTTTTCATGGGCCTCTCTGTGAGCTCTGAGGATGAAGAACCAGTTTGGACCTTTCTCTCCAGGCATCCTGACGTGTAGTGAATCAGCCACAGGCATGTTTCTGATGGCCATTGACTTGAGTATTACTGCGTGAGTACATGCACACGCTTGCATGTCATGCATATAGATCATTTTTGTTCTCTCAGCTGACAGAGTTTTGTCCAGGTCCTGGTGTCTGAAGGGCACTTGATCCCTGGAGGGAGCATGAATGGCTTGAATGTACTGAGGGGACGGGGATGGGGGGACTCCCATGGGAGCAGGTGGCAGAGGAGGAATCCTGCCAGAAGTCAGGTCTCAGCTCTTGACAGATTACACTAAATTAATGTCCATCCAGAATGAAATAGAACAGAACAGAGGCTTACCCTAAAGTGAGGCTTGTTTTCAAATCATCCTTGGCTATTTGTAAGTACACAGCCTTAAACATACAGCCGAAATAAAGACACATCACCACAAACAAACCATGACCATTTGGGAAATTTCAAGTTGTCCCTGTCAGATGCTACCGTTGTCATCTGCAGAGGCTGTGGCAGCCCAAAGCTAAATAAACCTGGACATGGAATGTCTCTGAGTCAGGGTCACTGCCCACTGAGCCACTCCAGAGGCTAACCAAGGTCAAGCAGCAGCTGCCCAGGATGAATCATTGGCTCCGCCCTCACTGCTTCAGGCTCCCTCCTGCTCTCCAGTCTCTTCCCGCTGTCTGCCTCCCCATATCAGGCTGATGCTGTTTGCACCCAGGCCTGACGCCTTTCAGGACCCAGTCTGTACCTACTAGGTACACAGTGGGGCCACCACCCCACCCCCAGTCATACTTTCTGGGCTCCATTATGCACATCTCAGGGTCTTTCCTTACACAACAGATTCTGAAGGGTTCTCAGTGTCCACTTGACTTACCCAGCTGATGGCTGAACTTTTCTCTGTAGCTGAATTCTCCTCCGTAGGCTTAGAAGCCCGTTAATGAGCTCAGGCCTGACCTTTGGGCTGCGAGCAATCCTAGCCGGTCTAGCCCGACACACTCCAAACCCCCCACCCTCCCCCAGAGTGGCTGCCTTCTAAGGATCTCTCCTCCTGTCAGCTTCCACGCGCACTTTAAAAAGCCTGACTCCCATGGCTTCCCAAATGCACCCAGTGCTAGAGTCTGAGCCAGGTCACTCTTCTCTGGTAAGCCCTTTCTTGCCCCGCCCTCTGTCACCATTCTAGGTTAACACATAGGGCATATTCAAGCTTTCCCTGACTGAATATCATCATACTTGATTCCAGCTCTGGCATAAGCTCCTGCCTGGGGGATTCGAATATGCTCTGCTCTCTGGCTAGTTCCTCATGCCACTCTTCCTGACACGCATGGGCTCCAGTATGGCCTTCATGACTCCTCACCTAAGAATGACCCACGTTCAGCCTGTGGTGCCTGGGTTGTTACTTCACTTGTGTATATATGTCCCCTCAGCTAACCTGTGTCTTCTATGTGACAAGGCTCACATTTACTATGTTGTTAAGCAATGCCTGGCATCTATCTAGCTTACTTGACTGAATCTTAATTCATGTTTGTCATAAAACTACACTGGGTATAGGTACATGGATGGATATGTCTTACTTATGGGAAAGATACTGAGAAATACAGCAGCAGCCAACAGAGTTACGGAAGTACGCACAACAGATGGCTTGCTACACAATTAACTGTCCAAACACACACTTCAAAACACTTCATGCTCCAAATATTCATGTACAAATGTAAAGAAAAATTGTACAATCATTCTGGTGGAAAGTCACAACCAGGCCAAAGTAAAAATAAATCATCACTGGAGAAAATTACTACCTATCCAGTGGAAAAACAATATTTTTAGCGTGTCAGTTCTATATACTCCAGCATTCACTTTATCTATGTTCAAATAGATCTTCAGGAAGGTGCTTTTGGGCAACAACAAGATATGTACATACATACATGTATATTAGACATTTTTGAAAAAATTCTGGGAAAGGACAGTCACATAGGGAGTAAGTCTAACTATATATTAATGTGAATTACTTATTTTGTATTAAATAGAATTGGTTAAGTTTGTGTTGCTGTACCAACATACCTGAGAAACCTACTTCATAAGTGAAAATGGTTGATTTTTCAATGATTGTTTCAGTATTTCAGGCTGCGTTCACTTGGCCTGTCACTCTGAGCTTTCTCAACACTGTACACCATGGTAGGGGCCATATGGTAGACCAGGCTTGCTCACCTGATGGCACCTAAGAAGCAAAGACAGAGAAAGAGGAAAAATAGGGTCAATGTCCCAAAGTCCCTTCCCAGGGAATAATTATAATGACTTGGATCCTCCCATTCTCAAAGATTCTGCAAACTCTCCAACAAGTACCACAGGCTACCCCTCAAGATCTCATCATATAAGCCCTGGGGATGTTTAAAATCCAAACTGTTTCAGGGTAGCATTAGAAGTCTACCAGCATGCCATCTGTAAAAATAGACTGAGGCATTCAAAAGCACTAAATAGAAGAACACTTGGCATTTTATCTCTTCTCTGAGGAAGCAGAGAGTGCAATGTACAGAGAGCGTGATGAAACTTTAGAATCATCCTCCATCCCTGTGCCTCGGCCATTGTATTTTTCTCCCAGGTGATAACCACTGCTACCAGGTTGTGTGACTCCTCCACAGCTGTCCTGTGAGCACTTCTCTGCTTCTACCCATGATAGCAGGCACACCCAGAGCTTCTCTGTGCTTTGCTTTCTGTTTTACTCCACACCATTCCTGAGGAACCAGCCCCTGTCTGGGTAGTTCAGTAACTCTGCGGAGCCCCCACTGAGTGGATGGTCCACCAGCCACCCAGCCCGCCTCTTCTGAGTGCGTCTGTGCACTGCCACGGCTGTTCTGCTACGTATACCTACTCAGTGAGAACAGAATCCTACACATATAGGCACCGCTGCCTTATAAGATGTCACGGTTATAACTTGGATGTTAAGTAGTTCTCACGGAAGATTCATAACTGAAAGGCTTGCCTCACAGCTGGTGCTGTTATCATGGTGGGGTGTCAGGGATGAGGAGGACTGAAGTTCCTTTCTCAGGCACAAACTCTGACCAAAATGTAGTTATGTAACTTTGGAAAGGTAAAGGCATGAAGTAACAGCTAAGGAGGAATGTCCTCCAGGGAAAACAAGATCACAAAGACCGAGAAGTGTGGAAGAAGAAACTGTTATAAAGAGGTCAAAAAGACTGCTTAAGCCAGTGTTTCTCAACCTTCCTAATGCTGCGACCCTTTAATACAGTTTCTCATGTTGTGCTGACCCCAACCATAAAATTACTTTCCTTGCTATTTCATAACTGTAATTTTACTACTGTTATGAAACATAATGTAAACATCTGTTTCCTGATGGCCTCAGGAGACCCTTGTGAAAGGGTCATTCAATCTCCAAAAGAGGTCATGACCTATAGGTTGAGAACCCCTGGCTTCATTAAGCACTGTTTGGAAGATTGTCTTTAATAACTGGTTAATGGTATATGAACAGCAGTGACCAAAAGAAAAATTACTCATTTCTGAAGTGAGCGCAGAGTGCTATATGTCTCTATCTCCTATTGCTTTCCTTTCCAGGTCCCTGAAGTGCCCACAGCTGTGCTGGCTACGGCAGTGGTGGTTCCATGAGGGCAATCACATCATCATGTCATAGCGTGATCCACTCGTCAATGGATTAATCCTCAAACAAGCCAAAAGCTCGATGAACTATTAAGAGCTCCAGATTTGGAGGATGTGGGTTCTAGCAGACAACCTTTGGAGCCGTTTCCCCCTCCTCCTTCCTCCCTGCTCTCCAGCAAAGGTTAGCAACTGCTCCATCACACCATAGGCCCAGAAGCAAGGAAAGCAGGCAACCATGAACTGAAATCTCAAAGCCATGAGTAAAAACACCCCTTTACTCCTCTAGGCTGTCAGAGGTTTTTGTCATTGTAATGAAAAGCTAACGTGCACTTGCAAATACGCATACATGTGTGTAAAATATAGTGCTATACATGTCATCTAACTAGTTTTCATGAGGAATTAATCACAAGATGCAATCAAATGGTAAAACCTTACTTGAAATTGCATAAGACTTGAATATGATCTATGTCCAACTACCTACATACTTCAAATCTTTCTAAGTTACTTACACTTTGTAGTGAAATGCATGCATTATGTAAACAGTTGGCATCATTTGAGGACTCCTAAGAAGAAAATGGTCTGGATGTGTTCAATATATGTGCAACTGTTTGGTGAAATCTTAAGATGCAGATCTGCTTCTCCTGCTCTTTGCTCTCTGCTCACCATGAGGAAAGCATGGTCTCTTGCCACACGCTTGCACTGTGATGTACCACCTCACTAAAGGACCGAAAGCAACTGCCCCATAGACTAAAACCTAGGAAATCACAAAGCCCAACAAACTTTTCTTTTTATAAGTTGTTTATCTCAAGTATTTTGTCACAATGGTGGAAATTCTACATGCCATCCACCCACCTATCCATTCATCTAAAAGGAGAGGTGTCTTCCCATGACACTGTGATGGCTTCATCAGAACCCACTGTTCTTCCCTTAGTAAAATTCATTCAGATATTTATCCCGTATCCATTCAAGCCTGTTTCGGGAGAAGCTAGCTCCAAGGGTCAGTGGTTGAATAAGTCCTAAGTTAATAATCACTGTGCTCTCCTGATCTGGCTACAGTGTGGTTGGTTCAGAAATGGATGAGCAATTCTTTCCAGGAAGTGGGAGAGAAGAATGTTGGCTAAAACTAGACTATCAGTGAAGGAGCAACCCTTCAATATCTGATGTGACTTTAGACCCACTAAGAGATGGAACCCATACTCAGCTCTACTTGGGTGACCAAAACCTGAGACTAAATAGCCCAGGGACCGAGGAGAAAACTAAATACTATTGTTCTAAAAACAAACAACAGCAAAGTGCTATCCTATCGACATTCTGCTGTACTCACACATCAGTGCCTTCCCCAGCCATCATCAGAGAAGCTTCCTCCTGCAGCAGATGGGAACAAACACAGAGACCCACAGCCAGACATTGCACAGATTTGAGAAACATTGGCACACTCGGGCCTAAAGGGATGTTAGCATTAATTGCCTCCCCTCACGGCTCAGGTACCCCTGTAGGAGAAGAGGCAGCAAGACTGAGAGTCAGAGGATGGAGGACACCCAGAAAACAAGGCCCCCTAAATCAACGTGATCAGAGCTCAAATGAACTCATAGCGACTGACTGAAGCAGCATGCTCAGGCCTGCACCGGTCTGCACCAGGTCCCCTGTATTTTTACTATGGCCTCCAGTTTAGTGTGTCCACAGGGTTCCCGTGTGTGAGATTGAGTGGGTCATTGTTTCTTGAGCCTTCTCTTGGTTTCTTCCTTCCGTTTGCCGGTTTTGTTCAATTCTGTTGTATTGGCTTTTATTTTACCTTACTATACTTTATTTTTTTTAAAAATCCTAATTTTCTTGGCACTTTCTAATTAACAAGGAATTGGAAACAGTCTTGCTGAATTAACAAAGCTTTTCAGAGCATGCTATGTAACCTTCCAGTCCTCTTGTCTCTGCAATTTGTACCAACTCTTGATGGTCTTAGCACTGTGGCCTCATCTGCATGATGTCACTTCTGAAACCTAAACCGTTTCTTTCAAAGGACCTAATCCTATAATTGGAACAAGTAAAATGTTTACTAAGTTGAGTAAATACAATATTCTACCACCAGTATTAAATAAGTTGATTTTCAGAAGTGGTTTGTAATGCAGGAGTTTAAGCCATGCAATGTCAGAATTAGCAAGCAGTGTTGATGAAGGAAGGTCGTGACCTTGAGGGTTAGCACTCCTGAGTTCAAAGGAAGTTGGGACCCTACTATTACTAAATTATTTCAGCATTCTATGTCACTGTTCAATGGGGAAGATACCTTGCAATGGCAATGGCTTTCTGTCCTGCCAGAACTTCCAGAAATGGCTCCAGGGCTTTTTCCTTGGATATGGACTAGCCATATATGTTCCCACTAGTGTTTGGAACCTATCCTGATGCCGTGAAGGACATAACCATGGGTAAAGACTATGCTGCAGAAAATAGATGGAGGGAGTAGCAGGAGCAGGTTCTGTACACGACTGACTGTTGAAGCAGTCAGCCGGCAAATCTGTCCTGCCTTACACTTGGGATCCAAAAGACCTTTGTCCCCTTCAGCACTCAGAGGGTTATTTAAATGGGCTTCTCTCTCTCCCACAGTCAAGTGCACCATGAATTGGGGGGAGGTGTATGTGTGTGTATTAGTGTGTATGTATGTGTGTGAGTGTGTGTATGCATGTGAGTGTGTGTGTGTTTGTGCATGTGAGTGTGTGAGTGTGTGTGTATGTGAGTGTGTGTGATGTGTATGTCTTTCTGTGTGTTGTGAATACGCTGGTCAGTCACAAGAGTGATACCCAGACAGATGAAAGCAATGCCCTCAGCCATATGCTTGCCCTGCCACCTCACCGCCAGACTGAAAACAACTTACCCAACCCACAGACTGAAGCATCTCAAGCCATAGGGCAAAACAGACTTTCCTTTCTTTAAGTTGTTTACCTCACTGACCATATGAAGTAGATCAGAACGCAGCAGTGGTATGGTGGTACATTTTGGGGTGAACGTACAATTGATTTTCATCTCACATTTGTGCTAGATAGTTTTATGTCAACTTGACACAAGCTGAAGTCATCTAAGAGGAGGGAACCTCAAATAAGAAAATGCCTCCATAAGATCAGGTTATGGGCTGACCTATAGGGCGTTTTCTTAATTAGTGACTGATGAGGGAGGGCCCAGCCTATTGTGGATGCTGCCATCCCTGGACTGACAGCACTGGGTTCTATAAGAAAACAGACTTAGCAAACCCTGAAGAGTAAGCCAGTAAGCAGCTCTCCCCGGCCCCATCCATGGTCTCTGCATCAGCTTCTGCCTCCAGGTACCTGCCCTGCTTGAGTTCCTGTCCTGACTTCCTTCAGTGATGTGGAAGTGTAAGCTAAACAAACCCTCTCCTCCCCAAGTTGCTTTGGTCACGGGTGTCTCATCACGGCAAAGTAACATTCAAGGTCTCCTTCCACAAAGTTCCTAAATGACTTGCTTGATCAGAACCTACAGGAAAAGCAACAATTTAGAAAGTAAAATCAAAGCAGCTGAGTTTATGCGAAAAATGATTAGGTTCAGACTGGGGTGTGTGTGCGTGTGTTTGTGCGTTAAACACTCATTATTTTCTGTGATTGCAAGTAACTAAGCAAGGCGTATGAAAAATACATATGAAGTGTAGCCTTTTAAAGGGAGAATGGCTTCAAGATTCGGACTCCTAATAATCCAGGGTTCTCCTAAGGCCCAACACCAGAGGGACCGCTCCGATGCCCTGTCCTGTGAGAATGCGGACACAGACGGTAACAGTCTCACACACAGGAGAAACTGTGTGCTGCGTTGTGATGAATTTTAAGACTTTTGAGATTTCTTCCCCCACATTTAAGGTTCTGTAGGTCTGAGGTTTTGTGTTACTCTTAGATATTAAAAAACATCATTATGCTGAGTGATGGTGGCACATGCCTTTAATCCCAAGTACTTGGGAGGCAGAGACAGTGAGTTTGAGACCAGCCTGGTCTACAAGAGCTAGTTCCAGGACAGGCTCCAAAACTACACAAAGAAACCCTGTCTCGAAAAACCAAAACCAAACAAACAAACAAAAAAAACACACCATTATACACAAAGAAGCCATGGTTGGGACAGTTCAACTGACATATGCCAGCCATGTAATTGGTTAATGATAGAATTTGCTTTGTAAGCAGCTTTAAGACTCACACACTGAAAAGGAGCCAGATAGACCAAAGTATGTCTGGAGAACAGTAACATGTACGCCTAAAGCAAAGGAGATTATATCCAAGTGACTCATGACCGAGGCAACAGGCAATCTTGCGTGGACAAGCAGACTTAGAACCACTCTTGTATAAAGCTGTAAGTCACTGCAGTTGGCGCGGAGAGGGTATGGAGCTGGTGGAGCGGTTTCTTTTCGTTTCCTAACTTTTGATGTGATGAACCATCTAAAGACCTCTAGGTTGCTGGAGACGAGGTGGGAAGAGAAGGTGAGCACCACGGATTGTTCCTCAGCTTCCACCCCTCCCTTGCTCACCAGCAGCTACGCTTTTCAGCTCAGCACAAGTCTCCCCACGGTCACTGTTGCCCCAACACTTTTACTCCTGGGGTACAGCATGGTGTAATCTGTTTGTTGCCAGGTTTTTTTATGAGAAATGGGGTCGATGCAACCTAGAGCAGATGACCTCAGCCTCCCCGGTGCTTACCACAGTGAGGGCTGCTGTGCTAGTGGTTGGAAGTTCAAGCACCTGCTGTGCCTGACTGGAGGGACCTGAGAGAACAGGGAGGAGGCCAGTGGGTGCTATCTAATGCCACAGAGGCAGAAGTACTGAGGCTAATTCTGAGACTTGTAAGATGTGTAGGTGAGTTAACTTCTCACCAGCCATTAAACGAAATCAAGAGGTGATGGGTAAAACTCATTAGCCTTTAATCCTAGCACTTGGGAGGTGGAGATTGATGGATCTCTGTGAGTATATAGAGCAAGTTCCAGGACAGGCTCCAAAGATGTCTCAAAAAGCAACAAAAAAAAAAAAGAAAGGAGGAAGAGAGGGAAGGAGGGAGGGAGGGAGGGAGGGAGGGAGGGAGGGAGGGAGGGAGGGAGGGAGGGAGGGAGGGAGGAAAGGAAGGCAGGCAGGCAGGCAGGCAGGCAGGCAGGAAGGAAGGAAGGAAGGAAGGAAGGCTACTAGGCAAAATTACCAACATGGTGAATAACAGGTGTCTTGGGTGGTGGTGTGTGGTGTGTAGGGATGCGGGGACAGAGCATTCTTGCTTCCAATTTTACACACTCAGGGTTATCTTCTCAATAACTAGGAACCCTCAGTGCTTCAGTAGAAGGGCAGATGTGTGTAAGTTTGTACACATGCACATCTCGCTAGTGTTCTGAGTGATGCCAAATGATTTTCCAACC